GGAGGGCGGTGAAGGGGGAGGGGTCACAGTAGACGCACACAACTGACAAGAGGGAGAGAATGTAATTGGGAACCTGAATGTAGGCCATATGTTCATTTAGTCAACTGTGTACTCAGGATGTCGAATGAGCGACCATTTTGTGTCATTAACGTGTCGTTCTTCTTTCTGCCTTGTGTGTTTGCAGTCGGTCGCCGAGAGTGAATTTGCTCATGTAACATATACTGATGCAATCGACATTCTTCTCAAGTCAGGCAGGTCGTTCGAGTTTCCGGTGGGTTCTTCTCTCTTCATTCCTCCGCCACACTCCACAACTTTACCTCTCTCTGATTTATCTTAATCCCCATTTCTCCTCTTCCTCGTCCCTCCTGTGAATGAATATAGACATTGTTTCTGTGAATAATGCATTCCTCTGATGATACATTGATGAGTCCTTTCTTCCCGCGACATCATTTTAATTTATCACTAATTACAATATAGATCATGTTTGGAACTTCAGAACCATTTTTGGGGTGGACACGTCAGACCCAGGTCGGGTCCCGGGACTGGGTATGGGACTTCATGGCCAGGGGCCCAGGGCACTGAAGCCGCACCTGAGGGGTTGGACTCAGAAGAGCAGAAATAGAACCCTTGCACGGCTTAGAGCGTGCAAGCAAGGGGTGGGGGGGGTTGTAGCCCAACAGGGGTAAATCACTTGGAAGTACTCAACTTTTGCAGGCCAGGGCGGGCGGGGGGAGGGGCGGGGGTTGCAATGCTTTCATCTCTTGCACTGGTTAGAAAATGCCCAAAGCTTGGCCACTATTCTTCTGGTGGCCAACACGTCGAGCTCATGCAGAACTTTTGAATCTGAGCCATTGGAGAAAATGCATCTCGGCCACCCAACCTATCAAATCCAGTATAGACAAGGAGGGCTTGCAGCCCTAAGGGGAGTTTGCTTGGTACATGCAATGGAGTTCTGCGGCCCAAGGGGGGGTTGAACTGCTTGTACTTTCCAGCAAGCTCACGACTCGAACTACCCCGAACTTCGCAGGCCCCAGGGAGGAGAGTCACTGCCAGATATGAGCCATTGAGAAAATGCATCTTAGCCATCCATCCAACCTGTCGAATCCTGGCCTGATAACACTGTCAGCTCTGCAGTCCTCCCCTGGTCAAGAAAACTCTGGATGGCTGAGATGTATTTCTTTCCGGTGGCGTCAATGTGACAGCCATCTTAGCCATCTAACAAGCCTGCTGACTGATTCCTCTAACTGATACTGACCTTCGATCCTCATTATGGATGACCAGAATTTGCCAGTTGGAACTACGGGCACTTTGGCACTTTAGTGGGACTTACAGGAACATGGCCATCATCACCAGCAACAGCCATAGCTGAGGAGCAGGAAGGGAGGCTACCACCGTACCAAGGGGAAAGGAGGTGGAGGTAACATAGCTGGGAGGTAGGAGTGCTATCTGAGTGGTCTTTGCAACTTTGGCTCATTAGGGGCGGAGGGGGAAGGGGGAGGTTGTGTGTGTGTGTGTGTGTGTGTGTGTGTGTGTGTGTGTGTGAGAGAGAG